GGGGGGCGGCTCTGGCAGCAGCACAACCTAAAAATAACGAGGATTTTATTATTTAAAAAAAAAAAATTATAATAATAATAACAGCAATCCCGCTGACCCCGCCGATGCGGCCCTGCACGGGCACCGGGCGCTCCGGGGACCCCACCGCGCCTCCCCGGGGGACCCTCGGGTTTGGGGCACCCCATGGGGTGCGCAGGGAGGGTGGGGGCTCCTCCTGCTCCTTCCCCCCCCGGGGCTGCGGAGGGCGCTCCCCTTGCCCGGGCCGCTGCGGGATTATTGCGTGGAAACGAAGCAGAAATTGGCGATTTTTTTATTCGATTGCACCCCAAATCCCTCGCCGCTCCGCGGGTTAACACCTGCGAGCCCCCGCGAATGGATCCCACCTTCCCCCGCTCCTCCGGGCTCACCGTGATTTTGGGAGCGCCAAAAAAAAACAAACCGGGGGCTCCGCGCCGCGCCCGGGGGGGTTTGCGCCCCAAATTCGGCCCCGGGGAAGGGGGGACACCCAGGGACACCCAACCCCCGCAGCCCCGGAGCCCCCGAGCGGGGCCGGGCCCGGCTCCAGCCCCGGGAGCCCCCGGGATGCGCGGCCGCTGCCGCCGAGCCGGGACCGCCGGTGCCGGTGCCGGTGCCCCCGGTGTCCCTCCGGGCCCTGCCCGCCCCGGGGACGAGCAGCCCCCGGCCCGGCGCTCCGGGAAGGCCTCGGGCTCCGCGCTCTCCCCTAATGAGCTCCGCTTATGCATTTCCTCATTAACGAATATTTCCCGCGGCCGAGCTGGGGGGCACCGGGACGCGCGTCCCCGGCCGCCCACCGCCCGTCCCGTCCAGCCGGGGCTTCCCGGGGGCTCGGCCGCTCCCCGCCGGCCCCGGGAGAAGCAGGAGGCCTGGCCTGGGTGTCGGACACCCCAAATCTTGCGGCCCGCGGCGTAATTCCCGTTCCCGGTGCCGGTGAGACGCCCGGTTTGCCCGGGGCTTCCCCCGGTGGAAGGCGCTCGGGCCGGGCCCGGCTGCTCCAGCCCGGTACCGGCGGGCCCGCTGTCCCCCACCCCCGACGGCGCGGGTTTAGGGGAGTGGGTGGCGTATTTTGTCTCCTTGATGGAGTTTTGATCAAAAATTCATTAAGAGGCGCTCGGCGCAGCGCCATGAATATTTCAGGGCTTTTGCAAAACAACAAAGTGGGCGTTTGGGGGAGGACGCACCGGGGGAGAGGCAGCCCCCGGTGCCCGTCTCGGCCCCGGTTTGAGGCGGCGGGGACGCCAGGAGGGCCCGGTCGCCTCCGTTCCGACGGGGCCGCAGCCCCGGGGCTGGCGGCTGCCCCGTTACACTGCGGGGAGCGGCCCCGGTTGTGCGGGGAGAGGCCCCGGTTGTGCGGGGAGCGGCCCCGGTTGCAGAGGGCGGCCCTGCAGGGACACCCGGAGCGCCGTGACAATCCGGAGTGTCCCCGGCCCTGCCCGCGGGCACCGGACGGTCCCTGAGCCGCGCAGCAGAGCTGAGGGGTGGGGACAGCGGGGGGACCCCGTGGCCACCCGGGATGTTCCCTCGGAGCGGGGACATCCCCCCCCAGGGGATCCGCTGACCGGGGCTGCTGTGGGCAGGAATTAACCCCAAACCGGGATGGAAATGTCCCCGACCCCAAATTGGGGTGCGGGGCCCCCCAGCACCTCCCGCCCGCAGCACGGGGGGGGCGCCGGCTCCGAGCGGAGACAAAGCCCCGGAGCCCCCCGGAGCAGCGCGGCCCCGGCTGGGCCTGCAGGTAACTGGGATTTACTGGGCCACCTCCCGGGCCGGCTGGGAGGGACACAGAGGGCCAGAGGTGGCCGCGCTGGGCCGGGAGCGGGGGCACGGCGGCTCTGTCGCTCCCCGGTGTCACCCCAGCAGCCCAAGGGAGCTGCGGCTCCCTGGGTGCCACCTTGGGGCAGTGCCACCCTCTCCGCAAGGGACAGAAAGGCCGCTCTGGCGACCGAAGCGGGGCTGGGGACACCCCAGGGCACCTCCCGAGCCCAGGTTGGGACGTGTCGCAATGGGCGGTACTGGACCTGCAGGCTCGGGTGGGATGCGCGGCTCCGGCGGCTCCCGGCGCTCCCGCCGCTGCCCTCCGCTCCCGCCGGCCGTTGCCGTGTCCCGGTGCCGGGATGCGACGTGTCCCCCCCGGCGCCACCCCCGCCACCCCAGCCCCCGGCCCCTCCCCGGGGCTCACCTCGCCCTGACATTTCCTGGCGCTCCTTCCATGCCAGCGGGTTGCCATAGCAAATCTAAATCTTACAAACAAAACCAGGGGAGGAAAAAAAAAAAAGAAGGAAAAAAAAGCCTGATTAGCATATATTCAAATGAGCCGTGCAATAATGCAAACCATAAATCACGCAGTCATTGCTATTCCATCAGCGTTCTCACCCCGGCCCCCGCTGCGCCGCCTCGCAAGCCCCGGCCCGGTCCCAAAGGTGGCCCTGGAGGGGACCTGCCACCCTTGGGGGTGGCGCTGGGCCCGGCCCGGCTCCGGGGCTCGGCACAGCCCCCTAATCCCGCCTGGTATTTGTGGCGCGCCGTTAAACCGGGCAAACTCTGCCCAGGATTAATCTCCCGGCCGGGTTTTAATCTCGGGGCTGTTATCCGCCCCCCAGCCGAGGGAAGGGGCCCAGCCCGGCGCTGCGGGGTGCGGGGGACCCCCAACCCAACCTGGGGGTGCCCAAGCGGTGCTGGGGGGACCCGGACCCCCCCAGTGTCCCCGTGGGGTGGTGGCGCTGCAGGACCCCGCTGTCCCGCCGTGTCCCCCCCAGCAGAGTGGCCGTGCCCAGCACAGCAGGGGATGCTCCCCCTCCCCAAAAATCGGCAGAACCCCCAAAGCCAGCCCAGCCCTGAGCTAAAACAGGCTCAGCTCAGCTGGGCTCGGCCTTGCCCCCCAAATCCCGATTTCAGGGGTTTTTCTTTCTCCCCCGAGACCCCCGAGAGGCTTTTTGGGGTCACCGAGGGGTGGGAGCAGCACGGCCGAGCCCCAGCGACCCGGCCAGGCCAGGGGTGACCCGGCTGTCACCCACCCCTCTGCTCGGTGACCCCTGAGCCTGGGGGACACGCGGGGGGGGGACAGCGACGCTGAGACCGAGGGGTTCCGGGCACGTGCCACCCCTCCCGTGGGGACAGCAATGCCGTGCCACCCCAAACCGGGCTGCCCGAGCCCAAAAACCTCACAGCAGACACCCCGAGCCCCCCAGCTCTTTATTGGATAATAAATAGAAAAGAGCCCCGGGCTGGGGGCGCGGCGCTGTCCCCTGTCCCCTTCCGTGTCCCCTCTCGTGTCCCCTGTCCCCTGGCCGCGGGATCGGGCCGGAATTGGAGCCGCTGCCGCTGCTCTCAGTCCTGCTGCCACCGCGTGGCACTTCCCGGCCACTCCCGCTCGCTGGGGACAGCAGGGGACAGGAGGGGACAGCAGGGGACAGGAGGGGGCAGGAGGGGACAGCGTCCAGCGCCGGGCTCCTGGCACGGCCGAAAGGAGGGGACCTGGTGGCATTTGGGGCGCCGGGGAGGGGGGTCCCTAGGGTGGGGACAGTGACCCTGCCGGTGGCACCGGGCGCGGGGGCTTCCCGAGGGGCTGGGACGGGGCAGGGGCGGGGGGCTGCTCCCCCGAGCGGGGTCCCCGCGCCCCGCCGGCCTCGCTATCTGTGCCAAACGTCCACGGGCTGTCCCCTGCGCGTGGGGACAGGGGGGACAGGGGGGACAGGGGGGACGGGGACCCTCTGCTCGTCCGGCAGCGGCCGCGGCGGCCCCGGCGCGTACGGGGGGAAGCCCTTGGCGAAGTCATCGCGGGGCTGGAGGTCGCCGGGGGCTCGGGAGGCTTCGCTGAGGGGCGCCAGGCTGGCCAGGGGCGGCTGGGGGGTGCCCGGGGGACAGCCCAGCCCCGGCGACACCCGCTCCGACTTGATGCTGATGGCCTGGTGCTGCGGGGACGCGCCGGGGACAGCGGCTGGCTCCTCCGCGGGGACGGTGCGGCTGCTGGCCCTGCGGCGAGAGGGGACGGGTGAGGGGCTGTCCCCGCGTCACTGCCGGGTGTCACCCCAGAGGGGTTGGGACCCTCCCCGAGTTCCTGTCCTGGACTGGTTCTGGCCCAGTTGGGCCCACGCGGCTGCTGGGGGGGACAAGGGGACAAAATCCATGGGGGAACCGGGCTGGGAATAACTGGGGGTGCTTCGGGGTGACCCCCAGGAGCGCCCTGGTGGGTGGGGGCTGCCCCTGGGTGCCAGCAGCGCCCGTGGCTGGGAGGTGACACCCGTGGGTGCAGCAGAATGGGGTCACCCTCACCTTGTCCCCACCCCAGGGCCACCCTGTCCTTACCCCAGGGAGGCCATATCGTACCTGCCCTGTCCCCTGCCCTGTCCCCGCCCTGTCCCCACCCTGTCCCCACGCCAGGGCCACCCCGTCCTCACGCCAGCGCTGCCAGGTCCCGGGGGTGCTGCCACGCCGGGGGGGGCTGCAGGAATCCGGGGGGCGGCGCGACCTCGCCAGCCCCAAAATCTGCGGTGTGGGAGGGCACAGTGAGCGGGGAGGGCGACAAAAGGAGGGGACAGCGCTGTCCCGAGGCTCGGGGACCGCGACTCACCCGCCTGGGCCGGGCTGAGGAAGGGGAAGCCGGCGAGGCCGTGGCTCGGGAGGCCGGAGCTGCCCGGGCTGAGCACGGGGCTCAGCGTCTGCAGCGCGGGGAAGAGCGGCCGCTGCGGGAAATGGGGGGACCCCGATGGGTTCTGTGCCCCAAACCCCCGGGGGACCCCTCCCCGCCCTCCCTGAGCCCCCCGGCGAGGCCCGCAGGACGGGGCGCGCGGGAGGAGCGGGATTTGGGGAGGGGACAGCGGCGTGGCCGTGGGGACAGCAGACTCACCGCTACGCCGGCAGCGCTCCGGCCGCTCGCCACGCCGCCCTGGCACTCGCCACGCCGGCCCTCGGCCCCCAGGAACAGCGGCGGCGGCGTCTTGGTGGCCAGGGCGCGGCTCAGGCTGGCGGCGGGGAACAGGGGGTAGCTGAGCCCTGGGGGACAGAGGGACAGCGGGACGCACGGATGACCCCCGGGGCATCCCCGCGGCCCCGGGGCCGTGTGTGCCTGCACGGTGCCGCGCTCCGCCAGAGCCACTTCCTCCGGGGCCACCTGGGCTGCGACAGGAGGTGACACGGCAGGGCAGCGGCTGGATGCGGCTCTGGGGCCACCGACGGGGGACAGCGGCCGCAAACCCCTGCTGGGGGCACCCACACCCGGCTGCCATGAATGCCCGGCGTGCCTGCGGCCACCACGCTGTCCCCACCAAGGATTTGGGATGCTGCCCGTCCCCATCCCGGGCCGCCCCCCGCCCCCGGGGGGTTTCTGCTCAAGCCCCCGGGTTTGCGGCGTTTTTCTGTCACCGCCAGGGCTGAGCCCCCCGTGCCGGGCGGCGCCGCTCGGGAGGGAGCGGCGGGCACGGCTGCGGGCACGGCTGCGGGCACAGCTGCGGGCAGCGCGCAGGAAGCAGCTGGAGCGAGGCCGGGCCGGTGTTTCCACAGCTGCGGCCCCGCTGCTGCCCACGCAGCCCCGGCCCCGCGCCCGGGAAGGCCCCGGGAGAGGAGCTTTGCATGCGGGGCCGGGCGGGGAAAATCCCCGCGGGGCGCGGGGTGCCCGGGGCGGGGGGTCCGTGGAGGGGATGGAGTGTCTGTGGAAGGGACAGAGTCTCCACAGTGGGGGTGCCCATGGTGGGGACGGGGAGTCCACGGCAGGGATGGGGTGCCCAGGGTGGGGATGGGGTGTCCAGGGGGGTGACGGGGTGCCCAGGGTGGGGATGGGGTGTCCACGCAGGTGTCCATGGAGGGAAGGGGGTGTCCATGGAGGGGATGGGATGTCTGTGGAAGAGACAGAGTTTCCACAGTGGGGACGGGGTGCCCATAATGAGGATGGGGTGCCCATGGCAGGGATGGGGTGCTCACGATGGTAATGGGGTGCCCAAGGTGGGGATGGGGTGCCCACGGTGATAATGGGTGCCCAGGGTGGGGTTCCTCCAGGGGCCCACGGGGGTGATGGAGTGCCCAGGGTGGGGACAGGACCCCCACGGCCGGGTCCCTTCCCCTGTGCCACCCCCTGCAGTGTCCCCGAGCCTACCTGGGGGCAGTGGCCCTGGGGACCGTCCCGGTGGCTTTGGAGCCGCGGCTCTGAAGGCGGGAGAGCGGCCCGGGCCCTGCGGGGAGCTGCTGCCGCTGCCCAGGGAGCCCTCGGTGGCCGGGGACGAGCTGCCGTAGGCGGCCTCGGGCAGCGGCACCGGGCTCTGCGGGGACACGCGGGGTCAGGGACAGGGACCCTCGGGACCCCTGGGGACCTCTGGGGACACACAGGGGTCAGGGACAGGGACACCCTCGGGATCCTTGGGAACTTTTGGGGACACACAGGGGTCAGAAACAGCCACCCTCGGGACCCTTGGGGACCCTTCAAGACAAACCAGAGGTCAAGGAGGGCGTGGGGACCCTGCAGGCAAACTAGAACCCAAGGACAGGGAAGGGACAGGACCCTTGGGGACCCTGGGGACCCTTCAGGATGAACCAGAACCCAAGGACAGGACCCTTGGGGACCCTCCACGTGCCACCAGCGACTCACATAAAACCTGGGCCGCGCCAGGGACAGATCCACGCCCTCCCCGCTCCTCCTGCCCTTGTCCCCGGGCGGCTCCGGGCCCTCCTCCAGCTCCAGCTCGTGGCTCTCCAGCCCCAGCCCTTTGCGCTTCAGCGTCTGCGGGGAGGCGACAGTGAGCGGGTCCCTGCGGCCACCGCGGGGCCCCGGGGCCGGCCCGGCCGCTACCTCGAGGATGTCGGAGTTGGTGCGGCTCTCGTGGGGCTCGCTGTACTCGGTGTACTTGAGCAGCACCTTGTCCATGTCGGTGCTGGCGTACTGGAACAGGCGGTTGGTGCTGTTGAAGATGATCAGGGCGATCTCGCAGTCGCACAGCACGCTCAGCTCGTACGCCTTCTTCATCAGCCCGAATTTCCGCTTGGTGAAGGTCACCTGAGGGGGGCCGGGGGTGAAACTCCCCAAAAACGGCGCTCAGTTCTCCCAAAAATCTCCCCTCTGCGTGGTTTTGCCTCCCATCCTCCCTGATCCCACCTCACCCCTACCTGCCGGTTCCGCTGGTCCAAAATCCGGCTGATCTGGATTTTTTTTCGGCCCATTTTCGCCTCCTCCGCTGGGTTTGGGGCTGGAAGAGAGCGAGAAGTGCCTGAGCCCCACAACCCTCGGGGCTGTCCCCAGCCAGAGTCCGCCCCAGCGCCGCCAAAAATAAGTTTGGCTGTGAAAAAAAATCGATTTTCAGAGGAAGTTTGGTCATTTCTTCTTCCGCGAAGATGGTGGCCAAGCGGAAAATGGAGGGAAATTGGGAAATTCTGCTGAGTTAGAGGAGAGAAAATCCCCTCGGCCTTGCTCAGCCACCCCAGTCCATCACTCCCCCGAGCACCTGTGGGTGTGGGCCGTGATCCCAAATGCTTCAGGGGGCTTTGGGAGCAGAGAGCCCACCCCAGACCCCGGGGTTCGCTGCGGGGCTGCTCCTGAAGCTGCTCCTGGCGGCTCCGTGGGACGGGGAGGGCGTTTAAAGGGGGCCGGGCTGGCGGCGGGGAGGGTCCCTCAGACAAAAGGAGGGTTGGTTTTAGGTTCAAATTTGGGGATTTTTTTTTTTAATTTTTTTTTTTCAAGCTCCAGCAGACTAAATTTGACCTCCGCAGGCCAGGAAGTGGCTGCACGAGGAGCCAGCAAAGCGAAACCACCCACCCACCCCTGCGGCCTGAGCCAGCCCGGGCAGGAACACGGGGCTGGTGACACCCCGTGCCACCCTGCCCGAGGGGTGCCAGCACCCCCGAGCCTGTCACAGCGCTGGGACACCCCCCTGCTGTCACCCCCCCAATTCCTGCTCTTCTGCCACCCCCACAGCAAGAGCCACCCCAAAATCCCCAAGTGCCACCAACGGGGCAGAACCACGGGTGGCACTGAGGTGTCCCCAACAGGTCCCTCGTGCCCACCCCGATGTGGGCACAGACCCGGCCTGGCTGTCCCCGCTGTCCCCAAAGCACAGCCACAGGCAGGAGCTGGGGAGCAGAGGGGTGGCAGCTCCGTGTTGGGGACAACTTTGGGACCCCCAGCTCGGCCAGCAGCCCCCTCCAGTGCCAGGCCGGATGCCAGGGTGCAGTTGGGGACCCTTGGGTCCCCCGATGCCCCCGGCGTGTCCCGCTTCCCCCTCTCGAGCACGTTGCCATTTTACCATCGTGCTCAGCTGCTATTTTTAGCTGATCAAAACTAATTTTAATTTATGGAAGGAAATTGTGCTGCCGTTCCCACGGCCCCGCTGCCACCCTGTGTCCCCGGGCCCACGCACGACCCCCCCGTGCCCCCCCGAGGCCCGGGGGGTGCCCAGACCACCCCGGCCCGCCGGAAGGGGCCGAGAATTCCCTGGTGGAAAAGGCGAGGTTCTCCCGTTCCCAACCACCCCTGGAGGGTTCTCCTTGCTCCGCCCGGCTCCGACACCTGCGGCGCACCCTGGGGACACCCCCGGGTCCCCGAGGGCCATTTCGGGGGTGGCACTTTGGGGCAGGACATGGCTGTGACCCCCCCGTCCCTGCACAGCCTCAGCCTGGGGGGATGGACACAGGGATGGATGGATGGATGGATGGATGGAGGGATGGAGGGATGGATGGATGATGGGTGGATGGATGATGGATGGATGATGGATGATGGAGGGATGGATGATGGATGGATGGATGGTTGGATGGATGATGGATGGATGGATGGATGAGGGATGGATGGATGATGGATGATGGATGATGGATGATGGATGATGGATGATGGATGATGGATGATGGATGATGGATGATGGATGATGGATGATGGATGATGGATGATGGATGATGGATGATGGATGATGGATGATGGATGATGGATGATGGATGATGGATGATGGATGATGGATGATGGATGATGGATGATGGATGATGGATGATGGATGATGGATGATGGATGATGGATGATGGATGATGGATGATGGATGATGGATGATGGATGATGGATGATGGATGATGGATGATGGATGATGGATGATGGATGATGGATGATGGATGATGGATGATGGATGATGGATGATGGATGATGGATGATGGATGATGGATGATGGATGATGGATGATGGATGATGGATGATGGATGATGGATGATGGATGATGGATGATGGATGATGGATGATGGATGATGGATGATGGATGATGGATGATGGATGATGGATGATGGATGATGGATGATGGATGATGGATGATGGATGATGGATGATGGATGATGGATGATGGATGATGGATGATGGATGATGGATGATGGATGATGGATGATGGATGATGGATGATGGATGATGGATGATGGATGATGGATGATGGATGATGGATGATGGATGATGGATGATGGATGATGGATGATGGATGATGGATGATGGATGATGGATGATGGATGATGGATGATGGATGATGGATGATGGATGATGGATGATGGATGATGGATGATGGATGATGGATGATGGATGATGGATGATGGATGATGGATGATGGATGATGGATGATGGATGATGGATGATGGATGATGGATGATGGATGATGGATGATGGATGATGGATGATGGATGATGGATGATGGATGATGGATGATGGATGATGGATGATGGATGATGGATGATGGATGATGGATGATGGATGATGGATGATGGATGATGGATGATGGATGATGGATGATGGATGATGGATGATGGATGATGGATGATGGATGATGGATGATGGATGATGGATGATGGATGATGGATGATGGATGATGGATGATGGATGATGGATGATGGATGATGGATGATGGATGATGGATGATGGATGATGGATGATGGATGATGGATGATGGATGATGGATGATGGATGATGGATGATGGATGATGGATGATGGATGATGGATGATGGATGATGGATGATGGATGATGGATGATGGATGATGGATGATGGATGATGGATGATGGATGATGGATGATGGATGATGGATGATGGATGATGGATGATGGATGATGGATGATGGATGATGGATGATGGATGATGGATGATGGATGATGGATGATGGATGATGGATGATGGATGATGGATGATGGATGATGGATGATGGATGATGGATGATGGATGATGGATGATGGATGATGGATGATGGATGATGGATGATGGATGATGGATGATGGATGATGGATGATGGATGATGGATGATGGATGATGGATGATGGATGATGGATGATGGATGATGGATGATGGATGATGGATGATGGATGATGGATGATGGATGATGGATGATGGATGATGGATGATGGATGATGGATGATGGATGATGGATGATGGATGATGGATGATGGATGATGGATGATGGATGATGGATGATGGATGATGGATGATGGATGATGGATGGATGATGGATGGATGGATGGACGGATCCATGGACGGATCCATGGACGGATGGCTGTGTCCCCCACCTGCAGCAGGGACATGAAATAACTCCCAGCTTTGCTTGGGGACAATCCCCCTCAGGTCCTTGGCTGCTGTGGTACCTCAGTGCCCCATGGGGTGACGCCCAGGGGGACCTGGAAGGTTCCAGCACCCTCAGGGTGATTCCAGAGGGGTCCTGGCAGGTGCAAGCACCCTTGGGATGATGCTGAGAAGGTCCTGGAAGGTGGGAGGGAATCCAGAGGAAGCAGAGCCACATCCCTGTCCCTCCAGGGGCTCCAGGGGGTCCAGCTTTTCCCTCTGGGTTTTAATTGGGATAAAGCCACCAGGGGCATCACGGGCATTGTCACCTCCAGCCAGGTGGCACCTCCAGGGCAGGGTGGAACCTGATTCCCGGGAGGAGCCGGCACCCAGGGAGGGCTCCCGGATCCCAGAGCCCCTCCTGGCACTGTCCCCACCACGGGGTGTCCCCTGGGCACCGGCACCCCAACAATCCAAGGCTCTGGAGATTCCAAAGTTCCCAGACTGGAGATTTTTCCCTCCGGTGCTCCTGGCACCCATCGGGCTCCGCTGCCTCCCATGGGTGCTCGCACGCACCGGGATCGGGGTTGGGATCGGGGTTGGGATCAGGGTTGGAATTGGGATTGGGATTGGGATCGTGGTTGGGGTTGGGATCAGGATCAGGGTTGGAATTGGGATTGGGATTGGGATCGTGGTTGGGGTTGGGATTGGGATCAGGATCAGGGTTGGGATTGGGGTTGGGATCAGGGTTGGAATTGGGATTGGGATTGGGATCGTGGTTGGGGTTGGGATTGGGATCAGGATCAGGGTTGGGATTGGGGTTGGGATCAGGGTTGGAATTGGGATTGGGATTGGGATAGTGGTTGGGGTTGGGATCAGGATCAGGGTTGGGATTGGGATTGGGATTGGGATTGGGATTGGGATTGTGGTTGGGGTTGGGATTGGGATCAGGATCAGGGTTGGGATTCGGGTTGGGGTTGGGATCGCTCCCACCTCATCCCAACCATTCCCAGCACCCCCAGCGGCCTCACCCTCATCCCCCGTGCTGGGATTGGGGTTATTCCAACCCCCCGCACCCTCTGTGCCTTTAGGGGGCATTGGCACAGCGCCGGGGGTGCAAATTCCTAATTGCAGCTCCTAATTAGCGAGCTGAGACCAAACGAACCCTGAGAGAGCCGCGTGTTTTCCATGAGCCACTGCGGGATCCTCAGCACCACAACGGGGCCTCCAGCACCCTCACACCCCTGATGGTCCCAGAAATCCAAAATCCACCGGATTTACCCTAAAATCCAGGCAGGTGGGGCATTAAAGGAAAAAGCTGCCCCAGGGTCTGAGTGCTCCCCTAAAACATGCCCGAGGCAGGGTCTGGGAGCTGCCCAGGGATTCATCCTCCCATGGGGAGCAGAAAGTGTAGGAACGGGGTTTTTTACCAAATTGTGGGGGTTTTGCTGCAAATCTGAGAGCCGGGGGTGACTGGGGAGGACTGGGAGGGGATTGGTGCTCAAAGAGCCACTGGTGGCATTTGGAAGCTCCCAAAAAGCGTTTGGTGGAGGAAAAAACACAATTGGAGCAGGGAGAAAGAGTTTCCATCCCCAGGGAGGGGAAAAATCTGAGCCAGGAGTAGAAAAATCCCACAGGAGGGAGAGGATGATGATGGGACTGGGAGGGCAACAGGGATGGGAATGGGGGTTTGAAATGGGGTTTGAAATGGGGATTTTAGGAGCACCAGTGCTGGGCCCAGGGGGACACGTCCAGCCCTGGCTGGATCCCAGGGATCCCCTGGGAAGGGCTGAGCTGGTGTGAGCAGCATCCCGAGCCCAGCACGGGGAAAAGTCAAAGTTGAGCACGGAGTTTGTGCCTCTTGCTTTTTATAGGTTGTTTAAACAAGTGACCAGTACAAACCAGCGTGGGGCTGGCAGCGCCGGGTGGGGACTGGGAGCCGGGAGGAGCCAGCTGGGAAACAGGGCAAAGGTGGGGATGGGGCTCCGAGGGGGTCTGGCACCACCACGAGCTCCCCAAATCCCGTCCCCCACTTCCCAAATACCCAGCAGCCATAAAACCCTCAGGTTTGGGGGCTCGGGGGACACTGCCACCCTCCAGCCCCGCTGTCACCCAGGGGTGACACAGAGCGAAAGTCCCGGGCGCTGCCACGGCCCGGGACGATGGGCGGAGGATTTTCGGTTCCAAAATGAGTGTGAGGAAGGAGGAAGGATTGAAAAGGGCCCAAAACCGAGGCGGCTCACGGCCCTCGGGGGGATGGACGGACACAGGGACCCCCCCCTCCTGCCCAGGGCATGGCTGAGGCTCGCTGGGTGCCACATCCAGGGAGGAACTCGCAATTCCCCAGGGACTGGGGTGGATTAATTTGGGGGTGGTCCCCAAATTGTGTTTGGGGCACTCAGGGCTGGCCCCGTGGCTTGGCTCACACACATGGTTTGCTCCTGACAATCCTGCGGGGATTTTTGGGAAGAGGAGTGAAATCCAAGGGGTTTCAATTGTCCTGATTTCCCCCCAAACCCTTCTGGGTGCCCCCACAGCAGCGTGACAGGCTTTGAAGCGCCCTCAGTGCTGGCAGCACCCAGCAGGATCCCTCTGCCCTCGCACTGGAGCCTCCCAAAGTCCCCCAAAGTTTCCCAAATCCACTTTTTGGGGTGTGGTGCGTGCCCTGGCCTTGGGAAGGTTTGGGATCCCACAGCAGACCTGAGGCCTGCACGCGCCTCCCCCCTTCCCCAGAGCTCTGGACGTCACCGTGACGTGTCCTGGCAGCGAGGCCGTGGCACAGTGCCAGGGCCGGGCTGGCCGGATGGGCACCCACGCTGCCTCCCGGCCGTGCCCCGGGGTGCCCGTGGGGGTCCCTGGGCACAGCCCGGGGTCCCATCCCCCTGTCCTGCCCACCCCGAGCTTCCACGGCAATTCATCCCCTGGGAAAGTCCAGAGCTGGCAGCGCTGGGAACGTTTGTGTCATTAAAGGAGTGAAAAAACCCCGAGGATGGGGACAGGGACCGGGACAGGGACAGGGACAGGGACAGGGACCGGTGCCGGTGCCGCCGGTGCCGCCCTCACCCGCTCCGGGTACTCGAGGGATGGGACAGGGATGGGACAGGGATGGGACAGGGACACGCTGGCAGTGCCTGTGCTGGGCAGGAGGATCCGGCAGCGGGTCCACCTCGCTCTCCATGGGTGCCAGGGGGACCCAGGTGCACTGGGACACCCTGGAGGTGCCACCCGGAGGTGCCACCACCCTGGAGGTGCCCCTGGCAGGAGCCGCGGCCGTGTCCCGTAACCGGGCTGCCACCAGCACGTGCCGGGAGCAGCCAGGCCGCCGTGCCACCCCGAGAGAGGTGACAGCGCCATCGGGGGTGAGCGGGCACGCCGTCACCGCTGTCACTGCAACCACAGCGAGCCAAGAGCCCGCCGGTGCCGTGCCTCAGTTTCCCCCCGCGCCCTGAGCTCCGCCGCAGCCCCAGAGGCGCCGGTGGCCCCGGGGGTGGCGGGGAGGCGGCGGCGGGGCCGGGGCAGGGCGGCTGCCACCCAGGCTGCACTTTTGGGTTAAACCCGGGCGTTCCTCCCTGCGCAGACACGAGTAAAAATAACCGCCCCGAGCTCGGCGCAAACCGCAGGCTTTTTATAGCCCGCCATCCCGAGACGGCGGGGCGGGGGCCGGGGCTCCGCCGTGCCCAGAGCAGCCCGCCGGGCGCCGGCCCGGCCGCACCGGCCCCTCCCGGGCCCGCGCGCCCCGACGGTGCGGCCGCCGCCGCGGGGACGGGGCCGGACAAACGGGGCTGACAGCGGTGCTGCGGCGTGTCCCCGTCCCCTGGGCTCGGAGCCGGGGACAGCGGAGCGCGGCACCCCCGGTGCCCCCGCGGGACACGCACCTGGGCAGCGGCGCGTCCTCCCGGCGGCTCCGCGCCCTCCGGGCAGCGCGGCGGGCCGGTCCGGGGCCGGTGCCGGTGCTGGTGCCGGTGTCTGTCTGTCGGTGCCGGTGTCTGTCTGTCGGTGCCGGTCCCGGTCCCGTTCGCGTCCCCGGAGCGCGCTGCCGCCGCCCGGCCGAGCAGCGCCGCTCGCATTTGCATAGCCCCGCCCACCCCGCCGAAAGATTTGCATACAGCAGCCGGGCTGCTCTGCCATTGGCTAACGGCTGGTGTGTATTTGCATGGACACGCCCCCGTGTGGATGAGGGGCGGGGCGGAGGAAAGGGGCGGGGCCGGGGTTTGGGGCGCTGCAGGTGGGAAAAGGGGAATTCAGGGAATTCAGGGAATATCACGGAAATCAGAGAATATCAGAGAATTCAGGGAATATCAGGGAATTCAGGGAATATCAGGAAATATCAGGGAAATCAGAGAATATCAGAGAATTCAGGGAATTCAGGGAATATCAGGGAATACCAGGGAATTCACGGAAATCAGGGAATCAGGAGAATATCAGGGGAATATCAAGGGAATCAGGGAATCTTAGGGAATCAGACGCCACCCCGCCCACAGCAGGGACATTTTTGCCCCCTGGACATCCCGGGGGTCCTGAACCCCCTCCCAGTCCCGTGAATCAGGAGGAAATTCTGGAGAAACGAGGAGTTTCTGGATGAGGCTCCCAGGCGTTCAGGACGTGACATCTTCCTCAGAGCTGCTTTTAAAGCTCGTGATTTATAGAGTGCAATTAGCAGAGTGTTAATTAGCCTCGCCAGTAATGTTAATTGATCCTGAAGAGCGGCTGGGGGGAGAACAGGAGCGCCGGCAGAGCCTGAGGTGACACATCCAGCCCTGGGACGCTTTGGGGACACTCGGGGTGGCTCTTGGGGTGTGGGACATCCCCGCCCTGTCCTGGGTCTGGCCCGGGTCAGGGCGCTCCCAGCCGTGCCAGGCAGAGCCGGTTTTGGGGACAGGGACCCCGCGGTGCCCCCGGCTCGGGGGGTGCTCCCTCCCGAGCTCCTCCTGCCCCAGTCCCGGGGTTTTGGGGAGCCCGGGGTGCAGTGCCCGGGGGTGAGAGCTGCACCCAGGGGACACCGGCGGAGGGCACGGCTGAGCCCTGTCCCCGCCCGGGACACGGCACAGGGACAGGGATGCCGTCACCAGGAGCTGGTCTGGGGACTTTGGGCCGAGCCACCCCCACCCCCTCCCCCTTCCAAAAATGCTGGAAACGAGCCGGGAGCCAAAAGCTCCGGCTGCTGCCAAGGCCAACAGGCGGGACTTCAAAACAGCCCCGGGTCCTGCGGGCCGAGCCCAGGGGGGCAGCGGGAACCCCCCACGGGGACGGCAGGGACAGAGGGACAGAGGGACAGCAGGGACAGAGGGACAGAGGGACAGCAGGGACAGAGGGACAGAGGGACAGAGAGGGACGGCAGGGACAGAGGGACAGAGGGACAGCAGGGACAGAGGGACAGCAGGGACAGAGGGACACAGAGGGACAGAGAGGGAAGAGGGACAGCAGGGACAGAGAGGGACAGCAGGGACAGAGAGGGACAGCCAGCACTGCTCCTCCAGCAGACAGAAGCACCGGCTCGGTGCGGTCCCACAGCCCGGCCTGGGCACGGCTGCTGGCACCGGGATCGGGAGGCGGCGTGGTGGCACCCGGTGCCAGCGGGACCGCTCGTGTCCCCTCGTGTCCTCTCGTGTCCCCGTGCCGGGAGCGCGGGCCCTTTCCCAAGGTGCCGGGGGTGAATTTCCCGGGGTGGGTCGGGTTTGGATCCTCCCCAGCCCCGGGGAAGGCGCAGTCCCCCGGGAGCGCTGGGATCCCGCTTCCCAGGCTGCTCACAGCCCGGGGGGGTCCCGGCCCGGGGTCCCTTCCCAGCCTGCCGGGACTGGGAACCATTCGGGAGCTCCCTGGGGGCTGCGGGGGCAGTCCCGGCGCAGGGGCAGGCCGGAGGTGCCTGTCCCGGGGGATGCGGGGGTCGCGGTGCCCCCGCCCCACACCGGGGGGGCAATCCCGGGGTTTTCCCAGGGAACGGCAGCGCTGGGAACGCGGGAAGCGGCTCCGTGGCCGTCTGTCCGTCGGTCCCCACCCCCGCTCCTCCCTCCGGCCCCGGGAGGCTCCCGGGGCCCCACCGGGGGCGGGGCCGGCCCGGGACGGTCCCGGCCCGGAGGCAGGACCGGAGGCAGGACCGGAGGCAGGACGGGCCCGCCCCGGCGGACGCCGCGGCACGGAGGCGCTCCCGGCCCGGTGCCCGTGCCCGGTGCCCGTGCCCGGTTCCCATTCCCCGTCCGAGCTCCCGCAGCGGCGGCACCGAGGAGTCGGGCAGCGCACGCTCCCCCGGCTGCCCCGGTCCCCGGTGCCGGTCCCGGCCCCGCCATGCCCTCCGCGTACCCGCAGCGAGCCCTGACGGTGCTGCTGCTCTTCGGGACCTTGTCCGCCGCCATGGCCCTGCTCTCCTCCAGCCTCATCTTCCAGCTGCCGTCGGGCCGGGCCGCTCCCGGGGCCGGTGCCGCTCGCGGGGCGCTCCCGGAGCCGGTGGCCGCCGCTCTGCTGCCGGTGTCGGCCGTGCTGGCCGCGCTCTGCCTGGTGCTCAACGTGAGCTGCCTCCTGCTCTGCCTCCTGCACGGCTACTGCAGCACCGAGCTGAGCCGGGGCCGGCCCGGGCCCGAGCGGTGAGAGCCGCGGGGCGCCGGGGACCGGGCACCGAGGGGACCGGGGCTCCAGGGGACCGGGAGAGGCGGGGATGCTCGGAGGGGCCGGGGGATGCTCGGAGGGTCCAGGGATGATCAGAGGGATCTGGGGGATGCTCCAGCCACGTGTTGATTTAATCATCACCAGCACTTTTTACACCTGCAGAGTTATTGCCAAAGAAATTCCTTTTTTTTTTTCATGGATCTGGAGTGGGCCGGGGGCTCCTGGCCCAGCATCTGGGTTAAAACTAAAAACCATCTCGGGGATAATCTGATTTTAAAGGATTTTGGTGACAACTGGGCTTGGTGGGGTGGCTCACGCAGTTTTGGGAGCTCTGACTTCAGTCAAAACTCGCTGGAAGGGAATGACGATGTTTCCACGGCTTCTTTGTGTCCCTAATTAGAGAATCCAATCAGTCCGGGCTCTGCACCGAGCACCGGGCTGGAGAAATTCCAGCAGCGCCTCCTCAGCCTCACCCAACGCTTCATTAACGGAGGAGAGCGAAAATATTTCCCTAAAAACACAAAAAATTCCCACAACAAACTCGGCTTTTTGTGGGAGCTGGAAAATGAACAACAACAAATTCCCTCCGCCGAGCTGAGAATTTTCCTGTGGTCCCGGCCTGGATTTTGGGCTGTAAATGCTCCTTTTTGGGGGCTGTGAAGTTGGAATTTGGGAACTGAGAGGTCATAGTTCAGGGAAAAGTCCATTCCCAAAAACTCCCAGAGCAAAGCGCGGGGAGGCTCCTCCCAAATAATCTGAATTTCAGGAGGATTCCTTTCCCTGGGAGCCCCCAGCAGATCCCTCCCCCGTGCCTCAGTTTCCCCAGCTGCAGCTGGAGCACTCGGCTCCGAGCGGGGAGGAAAAGCGGCTTCGGGCCGTGGCCAGGAGGTGGCGGCGATGTCCCCGAGCTGCGCTGGCTCCAGGCTTTTCCTGGTCACACCAGGAGCAGGAGCAGTCCTGAGTTCCTCACTCCAGGGGTTTCCTGGGCTCAGACCAGGATCAGTTCTGAATTCCTCATCTCTGAGATTTTTCCTGGGCTCAGATTCCTCACTCCAGCGATTTCCTGGTCAGATCAGGACCAGGACCAGTTCTGAATTCCTCAATCCAGATTTTTCTCCTGGGCTCAGACCAGGAGCAGTCCTGAGCTCCTCCCTCCAGACTTTTCCTGGGCTCAGAGCAGGTGTGGAGCCTGCCCAGAGCTGTTTTCCCTGCCAGGAGCCCTTCCAGAGGCTCTTTTCCCTCTTTTCCCCCTGTTCCAGGGCAGTCTGGTTCCTCCTGGACAGCCGGAGCGTCCGGCACGCGGCCGTCGGCCTCTTCTGCTGCGGGCTCTGCCTCTACCTCACAGGCAAGTGTGCCCCAGTGCTCCCAGTATTCCCAGTGCTCCCAGTGTTCCCAGTGCTCCCAGTATGCCCAGCCTGCGCTGGTTCCTGCTCCAGCACCGCTTTGGTTCACAGATGGCTCCAGCAGCTCCTTTCCACAGCGTGAAATTCCCTTTCCAGGGGCCCAGGCTGGGATGTTGTAGGAGCTGGAGGGGTCCAGAGATGGGAACGGAGCTGGAGAATTCCTGAGGGGGCTGGGATGGGGCTGGAGAATTCCTGAGAGAGTTGGGAATTCCTGAGGGAGCTGGGAAGGGACTGGAGAATTCCTGAGGGGGCTGGGATGGGGCTGGAGAATTCCTGAGAGAGTTGGGAATTCCTGAGGGAGCTGGGAAGGGACTGGAGAATGTCTTGAGGGAGCTGAGATGAGGCTGGAGAATTCCTGAGGGAGCTGGAGAGTTCCTGAGGGGGCTGGGAAGGGGCCCAGCCTGGAGAAAAGCAGATCAGGAGGACATTCCCAGTGTCCCCAAGCCCCCAGCAGGAGGGGACAGCCAGGAGGGTCCCAGGGGACACCAGGACAGGAGGGGACAGCCCCAGCTGGGCCAGCAGCAGGAATTTCCTCCTGGAAAGGGCAGCCAGGCCTTGGAAGTGCCCAGGGAGCTTTGGGGTCCCCATTCCTGGAGGGGCTCCTGGCTGGGCAGTGGGTGACCCAGAGGGGCTCGGCCACAGCTTGGACTTGGAGCTCTTCTCCAGCCTCAACCACTCCAGGAATTTCCAAATCCATCCCTTTTTAATCCCAGCTCCTGAGCTCTTTCCCAGGCTCTCCTGAGCTGTCCCTGAGCCCTTTTCCAGCCTGAACCATTCCAGGAATTTCCAAACCCATCCCTTTTTACTCCTGAGCTGTCCCTGAGCCCTTTTCCAGCCTGAACCATTCCAGGAATTTCCAAACCCATCCCTTTTTACTCCTGAGCCCTTTTCCAGCCTGAACCATCCCAGGAATTCCCAGCCCAGCCCCTCAGGGTGCCTGTGCTCTGCTCCCCCAGCTCTGGCCCTGTTCATGCTGCTGCTGTTCGAGCTGGAGGCTGCAATTGCCAGCGCCTGCATCCTGACCTCTGGAATCCTCGTCCTGCTCGTCTCCCTGCTCCACGTGCTGCTCCGTGCTTCCCGCGTTTCCCGAATTTCCCAAGGCTCGGAGCCCTCCCCAGCCCTGTACGAGAACCTCAGGGACGTGGCTCCTGCTCGGCCCCGCCCCGAAATCCACCCGGAATTCTCCTTCCCACCTTCCCTGGAGGGCAAATCCCAGCCGGGCTCGGCCTCCAGCAGCGACCTGAGCTCCAGGAGCAGGGAATTCCCCAGGGAATCCCAGCGGGAATTGTCCAGGAGCAGGGAATTCCCCAGGGAAGCCCCAGCCCAGGACTGGTCCCGCACTCACAGGACACTCCTGGGCTCGGGGCTGCTCCAGGAGCAGGGAAAGCCCTGGAATGTCATCCCCAGGGGCATGAGGAATGGGATGTCCCACAGAGCCACCAAGGACTCCACGCTGGTGTGAGGGAAATTCGGGATTTCCTGGAGTTTCCTGGGATTTGCAGCTCTGGAGGAGGAGCTGTTGCTGGTTTTTCACAGTTTTGGGGTTTTTTTCCTGGAAAAATTCCTCCAAAATCCCAGTGCTGCCTGCTTGGAGAACCCCAATCCATCCCAGCTCTGGGAAATGGGGATGGGGAGCAGAAATTGGGATTTTCACCAGCAGAATTTCAGACTTTTCCAGCAGATCCTGGCTGATTTCCCTTCTCCTTCCTCCCTGCTCCATCCTCATCCTCAGCACTGGCACGGGTGGGGAGTGGGGTGGAAAAAATCAACTTTGGGGTGGAAAAAATCAACTTTGGGGTGGAAAAAAATCAACTTTGGGGTGGCAGGAAGGGGGTTTGGGAGGCCAGGAACAGATTTTGGGTGGGAAAAAGCAGATTTGGGGTGTCAGTGCTGTTATCCCAAATTCCACCTGTTACCCCAAGAGCAATTCCCCTGGAATTTGAGTTCAGCCATTCCCTGAATCCCTGGAAAATCCAGGAGGGATCCACACCAAAGCTCTGCTCCCTTCCAGACACCTCCAAAACAAAAAAAAAAACAACTTTTTTTTTTTTATTTCATAGGATTTTAAGGAATTTTTCCTCCTTTGCAAGCCTAGAACTCCACATTTTTTGCTCCATACCCTTGGAAACCCCAGGATAAAAAAGGAGCTCCAAGCTCCCACAGCAGGAGAAAAGCTGAAAACCTTTAAAAGGAATTTTCTTGTTGGTTTTTTGGGGATTTTTGTATTTTTTTTTTCCTTTTTATTCTCGTCCTCATTAAAAGCAAACCCAGCAATTCCTTGGCAGCAGCTGGAGAAGTTTCTCCTTGGAGAATTCCTCCTCAACAAAAGCTTGGAGAATGTGCTCACATTCCAGCTTTTTATACCAAATTCCCAAAGCAAAACCTCATTTGGTTTGGTTTTTTTTGGGAAAAAAAAAAAGCCTGGGAAAAATGGGGAGGACAAACACAAACCCACCCCGTTTTTCCATGGAAAAAAGGTCCCAAAAATCAGGATTTGGGATTTTCCAGCTCTTTTTTTTTTTGGTGTTCCTGGGAATTCAGGGGCTTCTCTACCTGTGGTTTTCCCATTTTTTCCCAAGGCTGGGAAAATCAGGATGAAAATCAGGAAGTGCCTGGAGGATTCTTGGGCTGGGGGGTGATGGTGCTGTGGAAAGAAAAAAGGAAAAGTTAAATTCAGCAGCTTGAAAATGTGGGAAATTTGGGGTTTCCTTAAAAAATTCCCTGTGCTGGTGGTTGCTGGGTAAGGGGTTGTTGTTGGGGTGGCACAGCCACTTGTGCAGCCTGAACAATGCCAAAAAATCACCCCCAAAGTCAAAAGAAACCCCAAAAATCCCTCAAAAAATTAAAAAAAAAAAAAGTCCCCCCCACAAAAAAAACCCCAACAAAAAACTAAAAAATCCCTCTTTTTTTTTTTTTTAAATCCCAAAACCTCCCTAAAATTCCATTTATTCCCACTCTTTGCATTGCAAACAGTGCTGGTCAGGGAATGCTGTCCTGGATAATCCTGGAATTCTTTTCCTGGGATTCTGGGGTTCATAATCCCTGCACCCCTAAACTCCAAACCCTTCGGATCTCCCCAAAAACCTCCCAGAAATTCAATGTATTCCCACTTTCCCCTTGGCAGACAGCACTCTTTTCCCTGAGGGAATGGGGTTTCAGTCAGGGAGCGCTGTCCTGGGTAATCCCGGAGTTTTCCCTGGAGTTTTCCCTGGAGGTTTCCCTGGAGTTTCCCCTGGAGGTTTCCCTGGAGGTTTCCCTGGAATCCCGGGTACCTGCGGCCCTGGGCGGCGCTGAGCTGCTCCTTCATGGCTATGGAGTGCCTGAGCAGGCTGTCGATGCTCTTGAAGTAAACACTGCTGTCAGTCATGCTCTTGATGGCACTGGGGAAGTGGGAAAAGGGGGAGGAGATGGAGCTGGAATTCCCAAATTCTGCTTGTTCCCCTCCAATCCCAGGAAAGCTCAGCTTGGAGGGTTTCCACTGGGGGAAAACTTGCAGAAAATGCTGAAGTTCCTGCCAGGAGCTCCCAGATCCCAGCTCGTTCCCTGGATCCTGCTGGTTCCCCAGGGATTTCCCTCCCAAGGCGGAAATCCCAAATGCAGCCCCTGCCACCCTCCTGCCCTGGCTCCCGCGGGGTTTTCCGGAGGATCCCAGGACTGCACACCTGCAGGCATACTCCACGGTGTAAATGGCTCCCTGGCTCTGCTCCTCCCAGCTCTGCATGTCCGACTGCGGGGGGAAAACAGGGCTCAGGATCTGCACCGGGAGCGGGGGCTGTGGGGTGGGATAATGGGATAATGGGAGAATGGGATAATGGGATAATGGGATGGGGTGGGGGGAGT